AGCCCCCTTCAAGCCCCCCTTAAGCCCCCCTTCGCCCGAAGGTCTGGGGCCCAGCCTCGTGGCGGCTAAGGCTCATCCGCTGTTCTTCTTCCCCGGGCAGGTGCGTGAGAAGCAGGTGGAAAACCGCGGGCATGTGCCCATTGGGCTGCAAGCTTCATGTTTGTGTCGCAAGCGTGCGCAGGTGCATTGCAGCAGGCGAGCTGTGCGAGCACTTCGAAGCATGCGATGTATATTTCTGTGCATTCTTGGGGAGCCAGGTCTGGCGGACCTCGACCCAGTGCAGGCCCACAGGCTGTGGAAGTGCTAAGCCAGCCCCCAATGCCTACTGTGTCCCCCTGAAAGCCACTTGAGGGCTGCTTGGCTGTCTTTGCCCAGGTGGCATTCGTTGCGTGCTGGATCTTGCGCGCGGACGTATGTGGGTTTGTGCGTGGAAGGCGCGTTGGATACATATATGCTTTTGTGGCAACATGGCGGGCCCCCACAGCGACAATGCGGGCGCCGCGCGCGAGCCAGAGGCCGGGCGGGCAGCGCACGATTTTGCAAGAGCATGCAAGAACTGTTGCCAGAGGCGGGCTGGCACGAACTTAAGAGTGCCTTTTGCCGCTGTGCAGGTCGCGGTAGAGCGTGCTTAGCATGGGGCGCAGGAAGCTGCAGAGCGAAGTGGCCCACATGAGCAGGCCGAGGCAGGATTCGAGTGGCTTGCGAGCGCACTTTGGGTGCTGCAGGAGGGCTTGCATTTGCGTGCGAAGCTTTTCTAGCTTGGTGGCCGCTAGCCAGACTTGCTGTGCGTGCAGATCGAAGGTCCATCCGCACCACGTCACCGTGTCGCCAAGCTGTGCTTTCTTCCAGCTCATGGGGGCGTTGATGCTGGCTAGCAGGAGGATGATGAGGCAGGCGTCCTCATGCAGGCTTGCCCGCAGGAGCATGGCCAGCAAGTCATCCACGTATATCCAGGCGCGGTGCGGGGCGGGGCTGAGCAGTGCGTGCAGGATGCGGGTTATGAGTCCCGTGGCGCGTTGCCACCAGTAAGAGCTGAAGCGAGCTCCGAAATGCCAGACTGTGTAGTAGTAGGGCTTCTCGGCCACTCGAAAGAGCAGCGTGCCTTGCTCGCGGGCATGCACACGCATGCGTTTGTGCGCTGCCTTAAAGTCCAGGCAGAGGGCAGCCCATATGCCGTGCGGGTCTTGCGGTGCAAAGGTGAGCTGGACGTCGCTGGCCGCGGGCATAGCCATGCGCTCTGGGAGCGTGCGTCTGTTGTTGAGATTGCATACGGAGCTGTCGAGGACAAGGCGTGCATCGCGATCGTCTGCGAGGACGATGTTGAGCTTCCTTATTGCGGTGCCTGCTGGCCAGTGCAGGCGTGCGGCGGCTTCGTCGCCGTCGAAAGCTTGGACAAAACCGCCTTCTATTTCTTTTGCGAGCAGGCTTTGGAGCAGTTCTGGATTGTCCTCAGCTCGTTTCCAGTTGCCTTCGCAGTGGAGCAGAGCAGGCGGGGCTAGGTCGTCGTCCGGCAGGTCGGTGTTCGGCAGCCACTGCTTGCTCGCTGGCAGGGGCTCGAAAGCACCCGTAGGGACGCCGGCAAGCATGAGTTGCACAATGTCGGTGTCAGGATCTGCCGTTGCGGAGGAAAGCAGTTGCAGAAGAGGCAGGCGGAAAGGTTGTCCCGGATCGATGGCGAAGCAGGCGGCATCGCTGCAGTTAGGGTGCAGCACTTGGTGTGCAATGCGGGCTGCATGCAGGCATTGTTCCTCTGTAAGTGGGTGCTCGGGCTTGCCTTGCATGAGGTGGGCGGCCACCTTTTTGGGAAGGTCCTGGCTGCAGGCCCAGGCTAGCCAGGCTTGGCGCAAGGCTTGCAAGGGCGGGTTTTGCAAGAGCGGGGTAGAGTGATCGGCCGTGCTGCGCAGGCCTGCGCCGTCACAAACCCCTGGGCGGGCGAGGGAGCACGGACGTGCTTTGCGTCAGAAGTGGCGCGATGCTGTCGGTCAGTGAGCTTAGCGGCTTAGCAGTGAGGCAGGGTAGGTGCTACGCGGGGCCGAAGGCTGTGCGCGCGTTTGCGTTTAAGCATTTCCACGCGGTGCGTGCCAGGCGGGTGCGGGCACGTGGCTGCAAGATGCGTGCAGGCAGTGCAGTTGGAGGCAAGCAGCCAGGAGCCGTGGCGGTCCAAGCCGTGCGCGCAAAAGGCAATGGCGGCAACGTGAGCTCCTGAGGCCTGCAAGGCGTGGGTGAGTGCAGGATCCAGCCACACGGTGCTGGCGGGGTGTGCTTGCAGGAAGAAGTTGCCGCCGGCAGCGTTTATGGCGTGCACGAGCGCAAGGCAGTTTCTAAGGCACTGCCTGGATGCCCTGAGGCGTTGGCTTGCGGGCTCCGGCAGCGCGGGCAGGCCTTGTGGATGGGACGCGCTGCGTAAGGTTGATGCAGGCGATGCGCTGTGGGCGGGAGGCATCCAGGCGCTTGCAGGCAGCGTAATGCAGAGCATGCCGATTTCCCCGGCGGAGCACATTTGCAGCAAGCTGGCAAAGGTGCCGGGGTGCAAGATGTCGAAGCCGTGCGTGCGGTCCACCGGCGGGGTAGTGAGGCAGCCTTTGCTGGCCAGGGCACAGGTGAGCGAGCTTTGCTGGCCACCGAAGAGTTCGCAAAAGGCTCGCTGTGCAGGGCGGGCTGCTGCGGCTGCAGGTACTGGATCCGACGTGGCTGCAGGTTTGCTTATGGCGGTGTCGGGCATTGCTGGCTGAGGCGGGCAAGGCGTCTGCCGTGCGTGCGGGCCTTGCAAGGGCAGGTCCTGAAGGGGGGGCGGTGCTTGCGGGGAGGAAGGCGGTGCAGGCGGAGGAGAGGCTTTAGGGCTCGGGGCCTCGGGCTCTGTGCCGAAGGCGGGGGCTTAGGAGGGCGTGGGGGAGCAGGCAGTTGTAGTGGCGCAGCAGGCGCCGCGGCAGCGTGACTAGCGTTTTGCGCAAAGGCGTGGGCAGGCTGCAGTGGCAGGCTATAGGGGCGGGCGAAGCAGGGCCAGGCGCAGGCGTCGGACAGTTTCAGGCAGGGGGTGCTGGCGGCATGGGTGCGTAGGCGGGGTGCTTCTTGCCGCAGGCCTGCCGGAGGGCAGCTTGAAGCCACAGATGTGGTGGTATTTGCAGGCAGGGTCGGTGCAGGTGCCCTTGTTGTAGCGCAGGCATATGATTTTGTTGCGTTGCTTGGTGGCGAGCTGGGCCGCGGGCGTTGCTGGCACTGTGCGGCTTTCGCGCCCTGCTTGCTTAGTGGGCTGGCGCGGGCCTTTGGGGTCACGGCCCTGCCCCCCTTGCCAGGGTGCTGTGGCAGTTTGGGCGGGCGTGCTCGGGGCTGAAGCAGGGCATGCGTGTCGCTACGCAAGGGTCCAGCCCTGGGAGTGCAGGCTGGCAATCTCGTGCCAGAGCTTGCGGTCTGCGTGCAGGAGCTCGTGCAGGTTGACGGCGCGGAGGCCTGTCTCGGCAGGCAGGCTTTGGGTTGCGTAGTCAAAGACCTTCTTGTCGAAGGTCTTGAGCGTTGCCAGGTGCGCGCCGCCGCAGAGGGCGATGGCGTTGCGGAACACCGCTTGCGTGCGTGCAAGCCAGGCTGGGGTGAGGTGCATGCTGGAGATGGGAATCTCCGGTGTTTCGTCGAGCAGGGCCGCGCTGACTAGCTGTGCTTCTGTGCGGAGCATGCGGTGCGTGCGGGCCTGGTACTGGCGCTGGCTCAGGCGTAGCTGCCAGGGGACCCATTTGATGGCACCGTCGGGCGGGCGAAACCATTGGTGGATGATGCAGCAGGCGCAGGCTGGGCATGCTATCCTGGTCCAGGATTTCACCAGGATAGTTGGCAGCGAAAGTGTCGCGCATGCTCTGCACGGCAGTGTTGCTGAGGCGCGGCGGAGCGTGCTCGGCCCAGGTGTTGAGTGCAGGCTGTGGCGGTGCAGGCGGGGCGGGGTCACTGGCAGTGGAAGGCGGTGCTGGCGTGGGCTTGTGGCAGGCAATGCACAGTGGCAGGCGAGATGGCTGGCACGGGTGCATCAAGGGATTCCCAAACATCCCCTGGGATGGCGTCAAGCAGAAGGGGCAGGGAGTCCAAGGCTGGCAGGCTATAACCAAAGTCTGCTATGGTCTCCCAAAGGGCCCAGCGCATCGAAGAGCTGGGCGGGCAGGCCTACGGATTTAGAGATGTCCTGGAAACAGGCGGGGTCGTCAGGGCAGGTTGGGTCGGCCATGGCAGGCACAGTCTACAAGTCCTAGAGCAGTAAACGGCTGCGGGCAGGAGAGCAGGAAGCTGAGGTGCAGGGCATCGGCCACCTCCGCAGCCGAGTCGGACGACCAGCCTGCCCCTCCTCGCCCGCCGCTGCCCCCGCCTTCCCCTGCGTCACTACTGGCCCTTGGGCGGCCATGCACTGCCTCGACCCTGACAGCCACCAAGCATACCTGCGCACGCAGGACGCCAACTGCCTCAAAGCCGCCTGCGGCACACGCCTGGCCAGCACTCGCTTCCTCATTGCATACAACCCTCACGCAAACCTCTGTGGCAAGGCCGCATGCATCAACGCCCGCAACTGCTACCTTGCCGCGCCCTAAGAGCTCTTTTCAGGGTACCCTGTACTTATCCAAATGCCTCAACTTCGGTGCCCGTGCCAGCAGTTTCTACTAGTTACTAGTCTCGGATGGCTGGCCTTCTGGTCCGGCTGACCCACCGTCTCTGGTACGTGTCGCATTCCGGCTTCATCTATGTCGATGACCTGTTGGCTTTGCTAGAAGAAGTCAGTGCACCACTCTGGTCCGGTCTTCTGGTTGTTTGTCTCATGATCCTCCGGGTCCCTTTAAGCTGGCACAAGGCCAGCCTTTCTCCCCGGGTCGTATGGATCGGTTGGGAGTTTGACTTTTCTCTGCTGCTGGTCCGGTTAGAGTCATCCAAGGCTTCCCGTATTTTGGCTCTGATCGACTTTCTGTTGACATGTCGGTCCTGTTCCCTGACAGACCTGGAGCGTATCACCGGTAAGCTTCTATGGGGGCCTTTTTCGTACACTCCGACCTACCTTGACCCCGCTCTACAGAGATCAGCATAAACTCCCCCCGGTCATGTGCGCCCTCACTCCGGACCAGTGGTTCTCCCTGCGTCCGTTCATCACACCTGATCTTCGTGTCACTCGCAACCTGGGAATCCCGTCCATTCAGGTGGGTGCCTCCTTGCTCCGGGTTGGACAGACAGCTATCTCTTCACTCTCTGACTTTCCCGCCAACCCAGTCGAGTCGCATCGGGTCTGGCTCCAACTCACCGCTGTTCGCAGCCCTACACGCACTATATCCGAGGAGTCTAAGGTCGCACTCAAGCTTTGGCGCGACCTCATGGCTTTTGGTGTTCCCTTCCGGTCGCTTCGCCTCCCACCTACGTTTGCTCTAAAGGCCTTCGCGGATGCTTGCGCCTCTACGACTTCCGTCGGCCTCGGCGGGTTTGTCCGTCTGCCGTCCGGTGGTCGGCTTTACTTCCAGCACCAGTTTGACAGCCCGGCCCTCTGTGCGCTGTGCCCGTGGCTGCATGCCTCTGATTCCCTCCAGCCTTTCATCAGCACGTGGGAACTCCTGGCGCAGTGTGCACTACTGGTGCTACTGCACCGTCTTCTTCCGACCGGTCATCCTCCGTTGCACATCTTGTTTCGCTGCGACAACTCGACTGCTGAATCTGCATCCAGGAAGGGGATCTTTATGGCTACGGGACTTTGTCACGTCTTGGGCCAGTTTCTCCGTTTTCAGGAATGGTACCGGATCGTTGTCTCCATGGAACACGTCCCGGGTTTTCAGAATGATCTGGCGGACTCATTGAGCCGTGCTTGCTCTCCCGCGCTCTTGGGTTTCTCATGTGAAGAGCATGTCTCTGTGCCCTGGGAAGATGTCCTATCCACTTCCCCGGTCCGGATCTCGTCGGGGTCCGACGACCTGTCTGCCTTTCTATCTGCGTTGGCCTGAGTTGGTGTTGGGCGCGAGTCCGTGGTCCGGTCAAGCCAGCTTGATAGAATTTTGGATTTCCGGTCCACCAACTTCTGCCGACCGGTCAGTCCGTAGCTGCCGGTTTCCGACCGGTCCGAACACTGGACCGGCTGCCTGACACACTGGACGGTTTTCGCCAACGGACAAAAAAGGAGGGCTGACCGCGCCGCTTGCTGTTTAGGTCCTGCCCCACCTTGGTTAACCCGGTAGGAAACGGAAGCCTGAACCGAACGTGCAACGTCACCAAGCACCATCGTTTCAAACATGGCCAAGGTAAGTTCTGAACTTCAAAGTGCCACGGTCTGAGCCAAAAGCTCCAAACTTCGGAATGATCCGCATTGCATCGGAAGCGTGAGTTTGGATGTGATGGGCAGCTATTTCGATTCCATTGTTCTATGTAGTCTGTGCAACTCGACCAGCAGATGAGGCACTCTATGCAAATTTGATTCTCAAACTTCATTCTGGCATGGATACAACCGCGTAGTGCAAGTTTTTGTTGCTATGCCATGCCAATGGAGGACATAGTGCAGCTGCAATTCGAGTTTGGCTGAATTCTTCTCAACACAAAACAGCTTTCTGAAAGCAGGACTGTTGGATAAGACAGGTTTCACAAACAGGGTATGTTCTTGAGTACGCCGCTTCTGAACTTGTTTTGGCTGGCGTTGCTGGCACTGGTTTGGTGGTGGTGAAGTTGCTGCTACTGCTGCTGCTTCTGCTGCTGCTGCTGTTGCTTGCGACGGTGCAGCTGTTGATGCCGGTCTTGCTTCACGAATGCAACATGATCGTTGTCCATGGGGACGACTGGCGGTGGCCGTGTGCTGTGGTCATACGGATGAGGGTGCGGTGCTGGCTGTGGCAACCCCACAGGCCGTAGGCTGTCGGACCCGCGCTTCTCCGTGCAACACGCGCAGCTGTGAAGGGCGCGGAAGGCAACACGTGTGTATAGGGAGGCGCACGAGTTCTGCTTTGGTGCTTATGATTCCTGTAGACTGATGACAATGGAAGGAGGGTCCAGCAACAGCAGCGGCGTGAGCGTTTGGCAGAGGAGTGGGTTTGGGGGGCAGGGCTTCGCAGCAGTGACCGGGCAAATCGCATCGTGTGGCACCAGTGATAGTCACGGACTTACAGATTTTCCTACATTAGACGTGCCGTTCGTTGGGGGGATTTCTTAACCAAGGTCGAGCATTGAGCCCCAGAATTGAGTTCTTGAGCCCGAAAACCCAGATGCATACCCGGCCCAGACACCCTCGGCGTGCTCGGTACGACCAACCGTCACGGCTGTGATCGCAGGGATCGATCCGGCATGGGTCCAACCATAAAACTAGCTTGTTGGATTGAGAGCTTGGGGACCAGGCGCATTCATCCAAGCCAGGACTCGTAAACTCGGAGGTTTGAACATCGAACCTTGAACCTGGAAAACCTGAAAACCTAAACCAAGGCCAAGCTCTAAATCCTGACAAAACGCTTGAAAACTGAAAGGAACGACAGGATGACTTGCGAGCGATGCTCAAAGAGTGCGGATGCCGAGTCGTTCTTGCCGAAAGTTGAGCCATTTGCGCGGCGGTTTAGGGCTTTTGAGTTTCGGGTTCTCTTGCTTCGGGGAACTTCGAGGTTGTTGAACGAGTTGAGGGCTCGAGGTTGTCGGGTTTCAATCCTTCTTATTTAGGGTGTTTCTTCTTCTGGTTTTGCGGTTTGCGGTCTCGGGTTTTAGGGTTCATAGCTTTGTGTTTTGGTTTCGGGCTTTTGTGGCTGGGAGTTTGGGGTCTCAAAGGGTTTCAGGGCGTAGTTTTTAGAGTTTAGGTCTGCGGCTTCGTGTTGCCGGGTTCAGAATTTTATGGTTTGGTGTTTAGGCCCTGGTTTTGGGGGCCAGGGATTCGTAGTTGTGGAAAGAAGAGTTGCAGGGTTAGGGGCTCTGTGGCTTCGTGTGTTGTGCAACCAGCACTCTACTTTCTTCGGCGTCTATGTTGGCAGTCAAAATACTTCGTCGTAGTTCCTGCATTTGTGATGATGATGCTGAAGACGGCGAGACTGGTGTTGATGATGAAGATGATGTTGAGTTCGGCATTTCGAATTTCGACCTTTTTCTGATCGTTTTTCTTAGGCTCGTTTGCCTTACAGCGGGGTTGTAATAGTCTGAACGAAGGCTTGGACTTAAGGGCCAAGGGCCAAGGTTTCCGAGAGCAGCTGAGGCAGAACCTGCATGCAGTACACGGTGAATCGGATGTCCATGTGGAGGCTTCGGGAATTCAGCTGCACCACATTTGCCAAAATCTTTCGCAAGCATTTGCACTTCATGACATCAGTTCTTTCGGCCACCAGCGCTGGATTACCATTTGGTTGCCTCTGCTCAAGAAAAAGAAAGTAGCATCGACTGAGGAAGTTGGCAGGCTCTGCCACTGGTGCTGCTGTTTACCATGCCATCCGTGTCACATGGAGCCATCCTGTCCGCTGTGGCCGGCATGCTGGTTATGGATGGTGGCTCCAAGATGGTTGCCGAACTTCTCGGGCAGCCCTTTGCACACGCGGCATGGGGCTGGATGGGCCCAGCGCCATCGCCGCCGATGATGCCCTCTCCCCCTCCGCCGAGCCCGCCCCCTCCACCCCCTCCGCCACCCCCGCCACCCCCGCCACCCCCGCCCACCTGCGGCACCTGGACGGCTTGGGGTTCTTGCTCTGTGACTTGTGGGACGGGGACACGCATGCGATCTCGAGGTGGTGGCTGTTCACCTTTCTCGGAATCCGAATCCTGCAACGCAGGTGTCTGCAGGTGTGAGGAGTGGACACAATGGGGCACATGCTCGGCCACATGCGGTGGTGGTGCTCGCTCGAGGTCACGGACGGGTGCTTGCCAATCCTTCACAGAGTCCGGGGCTTGCAGCCAGACAGTCTGCCCTGTTCCGACCCCCCCTCCGCCTACTTGCAGTGGGTGGGGTCAGTGGTCGGCTTGCAGTGTGAGTTGTGGCGGCGGGACACGTTCTCGGACCCGTTCGGGATCAGGTTGCACCTCCACGGAGCAGTCCGAAGCCTGTAGCACGGAGGCCTGCCCCAACACACCATCCTCGGTCCAATGCGGCACGTGGCAGCCTTGGAGCCCGTGCACCGCCACTTGCGGAGCTGCGAGCCGGATGCGGAGCCGCGGCGGTGAGTGCCAGCCCTTTGTCGAGTCAGAAGACTGCGGTCTTCCCACCTGCCCAGCGCCCAGGCCCCGACCTCCCACACCCACCCCATCCCCCACGCCATCCCCCACCACCACGACCTCCACTAGCACCACCACAACGGCACCAACGTCGACGGCGAGCCCGAGCCCATCTCCAAGCCCGAGCCCCTCCCCATCAGGCTCAATCAGTCCAAGAGCTTCCGTGGTGGAGGTGAGGGTCCGCATTTCCGCAGACTTTGCCGAAGCCAGCCGTGACCTTGATGGGTTTCGGTCGGGCTTCAGAAAGGGCGTTGCTGACGCCGGTGGCATTTCTGAAGATCGCGTCATCGCACTGCGCTCAGCTTGAGGCATGTCCCGAGCAAGGCAGCACTGGCTCCTGCAGCATGCTGTCGATGTCCGTGTTGAGGTGCGACAGATCTCTCAGGGATCCATCGTCGTGTCTTGGCTTCCTAACATTAGCCGACTTCTGTGACAAATTGCATTGGCTGGAACAAGCACACCAGTGTAGAGTGTAGGCATGTCCTGGTAAGTATCCATGGACCAGCTGCATTCTGGGGTAGCATCTGGAATTGCACAGTGACGGTGTGCAAGAACGGCAATTGTGCAGCGACAGGTGGACTTCGTCGTCGTTGGCGCAAGGACTCCCGATGAATCAGCGGCATCCATGGCCGTCCAGGAGATTTCTTAGGAACTGAATCTTGACTCCGCATTCTATGCACCTGCACCAAACAGTGCCAGTTGTACTCAGTGTGTGTAGTAGCCAGCTGCTCGCTGTTATTTCTTGCAAAAACTCGTCGTAGCATGTGTTGTGTGTGCATATATATATATAAATATGTACAAAACGCCTACACACACACACAAACCCGGCTTCGAAGCAATGCGATTGTTTGTAGTTGTAGCAAAGGCTTGCAATCGCATCGTTAGAACTCAGCAGATATAGCAACTATTGTACAAGTCTTGATCGCATTGGACAAAGCTGGGTGGGCCTTCCTGCGGGGAGGCAGAGCTTGAAGGAAACCCCGCTTTTGTAAAGGGCTTTTTGCTGTTGGCGGTTTTTGGGATTCGCGTTTCTACTCCAATGTGCGGCAGGTGAGAGCGTTTGTTCTGTCAGAGAATCATGCACATACAGCCCTTGGTGAATTCAATACGCAGTGAATCCAAGACTCTTCATTCTGCAGAGGCTCATTTTGACAAAAGTTCCGCCACGAATCTAAGCTTGTATGCCAGATAGTCGTAGATGGTGGCCCACGCGATAGTGCTGTGCAGGGGAAGTGTACCACGATGCCTAAGCTGGTTGAACATGAATTGCTTCCAAGGGCCTGGTGTAACAAGAAGGCCAAAACCGGCATAGTCCCTACGTGCACTACACCGTGACCCCTCGATACTAACCCATCCTGAGACTCTCCGATGCAGGAAGTGGAAAGCAAAATGCGGGATGCGACTTACAGCTGGCCGTCGGCCATCCAGACCGTCATGGTAGCTTCGATGCAATTTAGAGTAAGCCACTAAGTTTTGAATGCGTAGTTGCGAGCAGTTCGATCTCGACAGTGAGCTCGCGGTTGATGACCTGGAGCTCCGGACCATCCACACACTTCCATGTTGGGGCGGCTAAGCCCCCGAAGCCTGACACTCCGGGAGCGTGAAGCCCGCAAAGAAACCCTGACATGTAGCGATGCTCGAACCTTGGCTAGGCCTCCGGTGTTACGGTGGAGTCCCGTGCCACGCGAGACATGGACCAGGAGTGGCCGTGCGGGGGCTCACAGTTTTCGATGCTGCTTCAAGCTGCCTCCACAAGGTGGATGATGCCTGTCTTTTTATCTAGCTAATCTAGCTTTATGGGCTTGCGTCTGCAAGCTTTGCACTGCTCTTGGATTCACCTGCAATGCTAAGCCCCGTACGAATCGAGACCCCTAGACCTACAATCCTCAACACAGATCCATCAAGCTTTCAGGTCTTTCAAAACAGAAACCGACCGGAAGACCATGACCGCTGACCGACGGTCGCATCATCCGGCAGACAGCTTCGTCCAACGATAGCAGATAGCAAAAGTACTTTGCATAGCAGTAGCAACAGGAACAGTGATAGCAACTGCCGTAGTCTTGTGATAGCCAGCAACCGCCCTCTGTTTCTTGACGGATGACAGTCCTCATTATGATAATATTTTGACAGACTAGTTTCGACTCCTGGGAAGGAACAGTTGGATGTCATGGCGATGCAGACGAGTGGAACAGCTTCTCGGCACAGTCCTGCCAATCTGCCTTTCGCCGGGTTTGGTTCGACCCCAGATATTGAGACATGTTCGGCCTTGGCTTTGGGACTTGGATGCACTCGGCTTACGCATCTTAAGTTTCGAAAAGCAAGCAAGGCCCCAAGCTCACATACAGCTTTCCGTAGATTCGAACTCTTCACCTCCCGCTGTCTCCAGCCCTCAGCTCGTCAGTTCGGCGTGCCTGACGATCTAGGGAGCCTACACACTATAAGTTATTGTCGAGGCACACCCTCACGTTGTATGCTCATGGTTTGAAACTGGAGTCTGCGCACGCCTGGCTTTCGGGGCTCAACCGTTCTGGTGTAGGTTCCACCCAGTTGTCTTGGTATTCAAGTCTCGTGCAGTACGTTTTCATGTGTTTGCAATTTGCTCTGTGACTTGCGATGAGCAGTACTTGTTCCGATGCTTAGTGGCCGAGGAATCTGTCATGGTTTTTCAATTTGTATGCCAAGGGTGCGGGAGACCTAGTGTGTATTCAGACTTCTGTGCATTAGGCAAGGGTCTTGAAGGTACCTGTGTGGCATGGCGAGCAAGAGTTTGTCATTAAGGTCTTCATGACTCCACTGGACGGCTACCAAGCGCCTGCCGACTGCTCCTGCGTCGAGGGTGCTGGCGTTACCGCAGGTTGCGCGAAGCACAAGGGCCTTTCGCCACCGCCACACAGCTGCGAAGAGAATGTACTCAAAGATCTCAGCTTTTCATTGCGTACTACTTCCCACTGGCACGACTCACTACCTCTCGATGCGATTCACAACTACTTACTGCTACTGCTGCCGCCCGCAGCGGCAGCAGCACAACCACGACCGCGACCACCACTACTGCCTGCACGACGACCACTACTGCTACAGCACTACTACTGCTGCAGCTGCTGCTACTACTCATACTACTAC